TTTATGGTCCTCTGTTAAAAATGCTGAAATGTCAGATTAAAATGAAAGGTCTGGCAGGTGGCGTGCTGGGTAAGGACACAGGCCTCCCACATGGCTGAATGCCCTGAGTCCAGGACCTGGCAGCCTGCTTTCTCACTCCCCTCCTCTCTCATTTACTTGCTCTGTCCCTCTCTGGTCAAATTTAAATAAATAAAGTTAAATAAAGTAATTCTTAAAAGAAGAAGAAAAAAACAAAGATGCCAATCGTCTCCTCATGGTCTTTAGGCTTGGTTGAAGTTATTTAAAAAAAAATTTTTTTTTACAGAGATTCTTGCTATAGGGGACGAGTGTTTGCTGGAGAGACAGATGGAGACACAGAGACAGAAACAAGAGATCTCCCCCCAGGGGGCTGGCCACGGCCGCAATCCCTTCTCCACTCCCCTCTCAGGGTGTTGTGCATGCACACGTGCATGGTGTATTAAGCTGCCGGGTCCGGGACTTGAACTGTGGTGGACTACATGGGAGTCCAGCGACGTAACCATTTCACCATCTGATGGTCCTTCAGTTGAGGTGTTTAAGCTAAGCAGGTGCCAGGACTGCCGCCTCAGCCAGGCTTCTCAGCTCCCTGGAGAGCCGACTCGCAGGTTGCCAGCCTGGGAGCAGGGCAAAGCCAAAGCCACTGGGCCACATCAGGGCAAGCCACTGCCGTGAGCCATCGAGACAGTCACATCCGATGACACGACGTGGCTGGGACAGCAGCCTCAGTGCTGGGCTGAGGCACGGATGGGCACAGCACAGGCACTGGGCGCCTGGGCTTCGAGCTGTGTGTTCTGGCGTCACAGGTGGGTGGTCTCCAATCAGACGCCATTTCTTTTCTTTTTTTTTGGAGAGGTTTTTGCTATAGTGCACATGCGCTCACTGGAAAGACAGAGAGGGGGACCAGCAGTTAGCGTAATGGCGATGTCGCTGGACTCCCACGTAGTCGACCGCAGTTCGCATCCCGGACCTGGTGGCTTAAAACTCACTCTGGGCGCGTGTGCATGCGTGCCCAAGATCCCAAGAGGAGAATACAGGAGAAGAGATTACGGCATGGCCATCCTCCCTGGGGGGTAATTTCTTGCTTTCTGTCTTTCTCTCTCTGTCTATCTGGCGAGCGCAC